GACAGGTAGCCAGTGCAGCTCACGGAGGATCGGTGTTATGTGGGCGAACCGTGGTGCGCCCACGATCACTCGCGCGTCTTAGTCACCTGAGTAATGCAATTGGGTGTGGGAGCCTTCTTGAAACTGTTGAAAGGATTGTAGACAGGAGATAGATAACGTATCCCTTCCCATCTGTTGAGAGAGGGCTCTTCAATTTTGACATAGATGGCCTTTAACCCTTCTTTCAAACCAGATTGTTAAGTGTATAAGGGAAGGTTTGGAATGGAATGAAATGTTATGAGAGATGAGAATGAGTAACATTTGGACTTTGGCTAGATAGAAGAAATGCAGGCCAGATTTGTGCTCTTCGGGTCACTGGAAAAAGTATGACTGTGAAAAATAATTTATTACATGTATGTTCATATAGAAAAAATGAGGAGGTCTGAATTATGCTATATTTTATATAAATATAACTTGAAGGCTGATTGTGTCAGCTGTAAGCAAGTAAACAAAAGAGAGGCTGACAGATTGTTAAATAAGAATGCCTGAAAATAAATGGAATGCTCAGCAAATAGTTCAACGTTAAGTGGGAAGTGATACAAAGTTGGGTGGTACCATTTTCTACAATTCTATATTATAGTGCTTATCCTGCATGTTGGGTATAAAAATGGTACTAAAAAAAATCCCTTTTCCCTGTTGAAATCGTCATTCACATGCATATGTAAACATATCTGTATACTTAAGTACAGACACTGAAGCAAGAAATATTTTCACAAGGATGTTTCATACACATGAGATATCTGAGCTGAGTTTTACTTGAGGATTAGTTCATTCGAATTTTTGTATTGGGGAAATAAGCTGAAGTTATATATCACAATGAAAAAAACATTACTCCTAAGGAAAAACAATGGACTTATCCTTAAAAAAGAGGGAGGTGAGACATTTATAAAATTAAAAACAATGAAAGAACTACACTATGGATCTGATAGAAGCACAGATAGTTTGTAAGCACAGACAAATATGGAGATAAATTGTGGATGGTGTTGGAATGTGGTGCTGCATGTCCTTTTTAAAAATTTCTTTATCTTATTTTATTTGCTTTGCTTGCTATTGCTTCCTCCTTTTTTGTGCTTTGCACAATATTGCTTCCCTCAAAAGGAAACAGGGTGATGGGAATACATATACTTCAATGAGGTGATTAGTCTGTCAGAACTGATTGGACAATAATCTGCTTAGTATGGATGTGCATATATTTTATTTCCGAATCCAGCAACAAGAGCTATTTGATAGAACTTACAACCGAAGGTAAAAAGTGAAATGTGGTTTGTCTGCTTATGTCTTAACATGGTGTAGAAACCCAACTACAGCTGTTGATAAGCATATCGTGGCTTAGTGATGTATGCAAAAACAGCTCAAAATGAAAATCAATATAATTAGTCACGTTCACTTTTGTGCGTTTATTGCATTCACAGCAAAAGTTCCACCTAAGCAAATAACAGGGCAAAGTTTTTTGTCCTTTTCTGGACAACTCTTAATACAAATTAATACAAGTTAACAGTATAACTGGCAGGATGAGTCCAGGTAAAGAGAGATCAAAACAGCCCTTCTCTTCTTTAGCTTCTCTCTCTCTTTTTCCACACCTTGCTTCATATTAGTTGTTACTGGAGGTGCCTGGGATTGTCCAGGGCACTTTTTCAACCTGAGCCTTTCAGGTTTTGTTGCAAGACAGAGAAAGATTATTATCTGACCTTTCTCCACCAAGAGCTGCCAAACGACAACTATCTTAATATTGTCATTTGGCACAGCTATGTTAATATTATCATTAGGCATAGTAAAAAAAACCATCCTAAAAATGTGCATACACCTACACACTTTTTTTTTTGCTTCAGCATTCACTACGGTGCCCTTGTAAGACAACTTTGCAGAATATCCTGAGACTGTCTTTGTCTTGGAATAAAGCAAGGTTTCCAATTCCTTCTACACCTAAGATAATCGGCAGCATTGCTCTGCACAGCGGAAAGATCTAATGATCCCCGAGCTTCTCCTGAAGTCGGGCCCATCTCCCAATCTTCCCCACCCGCCTGGTTTCAACGGCCAGGACTGATGGCAACCCCAGACACCTGGAAGACACCAGCTCGGGGGCCCCGGGGCACCTTTTCTCAGTGTTCTGAGGTGCTCCAGCGGCCACTAACAAGAGCGCAGCCCGGCCTCTTCCCAGCTCGCCGGCGCCTGGCGCTCAGGAAATCGCGTCAGCATCTGCCCTCCTTGTTGGGGCGGTGTAAAAGAGTCAGCCTGCCCGCTAGCTTGCCGGCAAGGTCTTGCTGGCTGCATCTCGCGTTGGAGCCGCGTCGTCCGCATCCCCCCCCCCCCAAGGGTCGGAGATCGGAAGGTCAAGGTACAGAGGATCCGGCGCATCGGGAGTTTTTGGAGAGATTTCTGCTGGATATTTCGGAAGGAGATTTTAAAGCCTTTCCCGAGGCTGATCGTCTGCTGGTATCATCGCTGGAAAAAAGAAGGTAATTGGTACCACTATGTTGATGGAGGATTTACTGTAGAAAACTAGGAAATGTTTGCCTATGAAATGTTTTATCGGGAATGATTTTGATCCCTCCCCCTAAAAAAAAGATGTTGCAGACGGTCACCGTCCTTAACTAGCAGTATTTTTGCTGCTGCAGTCTTGGCTTGCCAATACATAAATAAACCGAAAGATTAACGTGAGACAAAACCGTGTGCGCATCAGTTACAATGGAAAGTATTTTAGGAACTAGTTTTTGAAAAAGAGCGCATAGCATACAGAACTGGGCTCTAGGCCCATGCTTGAATGAGAAAGCAAGTGAAATGAATACAGCATGAAATAAATGCAGTCTGATTGACAAACGCTGTCCTCTGTCCTTTCTTTTGCAAAATGTTGTGAAGAGGTGATTGAGAATGTAGAGAAAAAGCATGGAAGTACGAAAAGTATTTTTCAGATTTATCCCTGAGCCCATGAACAATTAGAAATCACTGCATGGAGGAAAGTTCCTACATGGTGGAAAGCAATTGTGCAGTTATTTGTATGTTTTTTTTCTGTGTAGCAAGTTAGTATTTTATCATTCTCTTAACTATGGCAATCTGATTGATGAGTGGATTAAATTCACAGTAGTACCCATTTTCCTTTTTTAGATAGGCTGCTTATTTTTCCCTTTTTCTTTCAGGCTTTCACTTGCATTCCATTGGTGTACTTAACTAACTGTGTGAAAGTCCCTTCTGTCATTCAGCCAATTTGGCTTAGATTGCTAATGTTCCCTTGGTGATTAGTTTGAACGAATTTCTTTGGCAGTAGCCTTTATAAGGCTGTATAGGGACACCCAACATTTGATACTAGTGTTTAATACAGTACTTGATCTGTTATTTATAGAAGAAAGTTTAAAGTGACTATATACTTTCCTAGCGCTGCTTGTTCATGCTATTGCATATAAATTAGCTAAGCAAAATTCTGAAGGTAATTCCTTTTTTTCCCTTCCAGTATTTTGTAAAAATTGAAGCGTTAGCTTCATTTTTGCAGTCCAGTCTCGTAATCATACAATCGGAAGTAAATCTAATTAATTCAGTGACATTTACTCCCAGGTAAGTTTATCCAAATATCCTATCTTATAGAGCTAGGCTATTGCCTCTATGAACTCTTTGTTCTAGTTTATCTTTCAGTACTTAGAGTGTTGAGGTATGAATTTATGTTATCAGAGAAACGATGAATATGCTGGTTGGGTGGTTTGGAAATTTTAATCAATGATATCCAAAGAGCATGGGATTGAATATGCTTGAGTTGGTAGAACTTCACATGCATGATAATATTTCATTGCCAGAATACTTGGATGCTCCAAATAATTGAAGCATTCAGTTACAAATTGTTCAATAGGAAACTAGACCATGACTTCCTCCTATTCTAGATGAAGTGTCTCATAAAAGTACAGAAATACAGCCTGGGATGATTCTTTCATTCTCAGTTGTTACTGAATTCCAAGGTGAGAAAGAAGATTTTTACGTGACAGCTATGACTCCTTAGCCAATTGGATTTGGCAGCATTTGTCCATACTTTGGTCACATCCTTTCTTGACAATTCAAATTTACTCTATGTGGGACTACTTTTGAAAATGTCTTGAAGCATCAATTGATGTAAATGTGACTGTTGAAATAGCTTCATTAGTTGTCGGTTGTTCTCTCAGCAAAATTTAAGATGGTAATGATATTAGTCTTCAAAACTCTACATACTGTTCAACATAATTATCTGAGAGACTATGTCTTTGGCTAGAAACCTGTTTGAATGCTTTGATTTACAATAAATATGATCTACTATTTTCCGTAGTTGGTATCAAAGATTCTCAAAGTTTCTCAGTTCATGGAGCTCTTATATCTCATAATGTTTTTGCATAATGTTTTACTTCCAAATATTAAGTATTTTATAGGACTTTGTCAATTTGTTTAAAAAGATAGCCTCACAATTTGGGAATTACAGGTTTCTATATTAAACAAAGAGGAGAGGACTTTCTTCCTTATCAGTCCCAAGCTATGGAATGCCAAGACTACATCTCTTCTTTCTTAGAGCTTTCTTAGAAAGTTATGCTTAAAGCTCTTTGAAGAGCAACCAGGATTCATCACATATTTTAAAAAACCTCTCATTTGTGAAGCCTTAAAATCCTTGGGTTTGTATTTTTGTAATTTGGAGTTGCTTTCAGCTAAAATAGTATATTCAATGTAATTAGAACAGAAGAGAACAAAATCATTCCGTGCAGAAAATTGTGCCCTATAATTTCCTGGTTCCCTAAAGAAACTTCTGACTGTATCTTGGGAAAATACATGTTATTGACCTGTCTCACTCTGAACAAATATATTTGTTTATGCCTTTGTATTTTTACGTATGTCTAATGTAGAGGAGAGGCTCTTTAATTTTTAACAATACAAATGCTTATGTTAGCATAATGATTTGCTGACTGTTTGTATAAGGTAGTAACCCATGTTTAACTAATTTACTTGCCTAGATCCATACAATCGCAAAAAAATTCAACCATTACAGTGATGTTTAAACAGATGTTAATTGATTAAGAATTTGCAGTCTCTCACATGTCATCTGCATCTATATAACTAATCTGCCATCTCTTCTTTCCCATGCTTTCTAGGGTTTATTCCAATTTAAATCTTGCATCAGTTTAGCTACTCTATGCATCTTACAAAGAGAACTGCCCATGAAAGCTTTTGCCTTTCAAAAAATTTGGTAGTCAAAAAAGGTGCTACTATATTCCTTCTGATTATAGACTCACACAATGTGCTGAAATAATTTGGATGTGCAAAACACACTGAACAGCTAAGCAGACATTTTATCCTTGCTTGGTTAGTGATTGTGTTCCAGCTTTCAGAAGCCTGATTGACTTATGCAACAGAGAAATATATATTAGAAAAGAAACTGGTTTAAATTCCTCTTATTCTTATCTTACAATATTTAAGCATGTATTTACTTTCTGTGTATGAATGAAGCACAAATTTAATTTCCTCTTATTATAACCAATTCTGGTAATTATAGCAACCTGTAGATAAGTTTGAAATATAATTACAAACCTTTTGTAATGAATTACAGTATCCTGAAAGAGATCAACTTATAATTATATATTAATTATATAGTTATATAGTTGCATCTAATTAGTTGTGACATACACTTTTTAAATTTGGAAGTAAAGTCTATTGATGTGCCAAAACATTTAGGATAAGTGAATTAGGTTATTTACTAACACAATTAATTCTTTAATGCTGAAATTATTTTCTTCTTTTAGCTCATGAGGCTGAATTTATGTTGTAGATCATGGACGAGACTGCTTTATCACTTGGAACAATAGATGTTTCCTATTTGTCATCTTCAGCAGAATACACTGTCACTAGATGTAAACATTCCAGTGAAGAATGGGTAAGCAAAATGCATGCTTGTTCAGTGCTTCTGGGTTTCTTAAGATAAAACTCTACTGTCCTATTGAAAAGTGAAAAAGTAATAGAGGATTATCCTTTAAAAAATTAAGAATCTTCAGTACAGATAGTCTTTGTTTGCTGTCCACTTGTTCAGCGATTATTCAAAGCTACCACATGCTGACTGGCCCTCAAAGTTCTGACACCAATAGTCACATGATTGTGATTCCAAGTGCTTGACAAGCAGTTCACATGATGGTTGCAGCATCCTGCTGTCAGGGTGCCCCCATCGATAACCAAGAAAGAAAACTCCCAACTCCATTGTTCGTGGAATTAAAGATACTTATACTGGTTATGAAAAGATAGCAGAAAGAAAAGCAAGATCTGAGGCAAAAAGGCCCAAAGAAGTATATATCAAACGATTACCCAGCACACTCCCTCCAGTTACCCCAACCCAGTGTCCAATCTGCAACTCCCTAAGAAGGTGTGGGGTGTACCTTCAAAAGGCCTCATCGAATTGGTATGCGAGACTGTTGGCCTTGACCAAGTCCAAACACCGGCCATCAGCATGCACAGAAGATGGTGAGAACAAAGCTCCCTTCTTACATAACTCCTCCAGTACCATAAGATTCCCTTCCCAAATACCATAAGCCCCTACCCCCCCCCCCCGTTTCTATGGCAGCAAGCGAAGCAGAGGCTGAAATCTGCAGTCACTTGACTGGTATTTCTGATTTTCCCAATTGGCTTCACTTAAGCAAAGTCAATGGGGAAGCCAGCAGAGGAAGTCACAAGTTTCTCTAGTAGTCTAGTAAGTTCCTTCAGGCTCCCTAGGCTCTGACCCTTCTGTATCATCTACCTTGCAGCTTTCCTGCACTTGCACCTCACTTCGCTATCCAGCCCTACAACTTCCTGTGTTTGTGCACGACTTGTGCTAGGTCACATAAATTATCCCTTGGTTTCCCCCAACTTACAGCTGTCGCCAGCCCTTCTAGGCTTCCCTCATTCCTTGGGATTCCCTGGAGTACCCCTAGCTTTTTACCTGGGATTTCTACCACTTCTGGCTTAATGACCCCTATGTCTTGAGTTACAGGACAGTTGGGACTGCAATTGCTAAGCAGTGCAGCCACATGATATTGTGTTTTATGACTGTACTCCTTAGCAACAACAATTCTGGTCCCAATTGCCCTTGTAAAGACTATCTGTAGTACATTTATTTAGATAGTTCTGTACGCAGTTCTTAGGGCAGGCTATACTTGATAAAAAATAATACAGTACTGTAATGTAGCACCACTTTCATTCAAAATATATCAATAGAAAAAGTTCAGATTCATATTATAATATATGTATAGTACAGGATTATATTATTTTAGATTTATTCCTACAGTTCCAGAAATGTACAGGTAATCGTCAATTTATGATTGTAATTATGCCCAGATTTATTGTCATAAGTCATGGCAGTCCTTAAGTAAGTGACCCTTTATGCAATAGCCTTTAAGTGAATGCTGCGGTAATTAAATGAATGTTGTCATTAAGCGAAAGTGGTTGTTAAATGAATCTATTTTACCATCCATTTTTACCCAATGGGTATTTTTACCAGAAAGATTCTAACGAAGAAAGACCAAAAAAACATAATCACAATATGCTGTAAATAGCCATAAATGTGAACTGGTTACCAAAGAGCCAAAATACAGTTATGTAACTGCAAATGGGTACAGTTTTTGGAAGTCCAGAATTGGGTCATAACTACTTTTTGGGGGGAGGGGGGTTAGGGGAAACTGTCATATTGGAATGATTCAGTATCAAATATACAGATTTCATATAATTTAAAGGAGGAAAATATTTTGACAGAATTGATCTAGATTCTGTTAGGCAAACATTTGTATATGTGCGAGTCTATGAATGTGTTTAATTACTTCCAATAACTGAATCTGGTTATTTGTTTAAGCAGATGAATAAATCAATTGTTCTTAACTTTAGCTAGTTCATTTATAGCAAGTAACCTGAAAGACATTCAGATCTGTCTGTTTTTATGTGCTATATTTTATATTTTCTTTACTGTCACTTTCCAGGGAGAATGCAATTCTAGGCCTACTGTCTTCCGATCAGCCACTTTAAAATGGAAAGAGACTCTTCTGGGCAGGAATAGACCATTTGTGGGACGCTGTTGTTACGTATGCACACCTCAAAGCTGGGTGAATGGAATTATATTAGTAACAAAATTAAATGTAATTTTCATGTAATGGTAATTAAATAGCCAGAAGGCAATTAAATTAAGAAATCAGTAGCTATGTGCTTACCTTGTATAGCTTACTTTCAGATTTTGCCTGGTGGAAGTAGAATAGCATTTGATGCCTTTGTATTAATGAAATACTGTAAAGTTGGGCCCAGTGATTTGTTCAGGTAATGTTACGATGCATAGATTTTTCTTTATAGATTTACTATTATGTTTCTATCTGGAGTGCTAGAGTACAAATTTAACAAATATGTGTATGTTTTGCAAATAGCTGAGATTTTATGTGAGACTTTGGCAAGTCTAAACTTTGGCAAACTTCAAGCTATATATTATTTATATGGGGGTGGGGAGATTCCTCTCCTTTAGAAGTAATATGTAGGAAAATTCAATATTTATTGTGAACTGCTATTAGTAATACATTGATGTATACATGTATCTTTCCCTTTTAGGACAAGCTTTTTAATACTAGCATCCCTTCTTTGGGTCTGCGTAATGTTATCTATATTAATGAGACACATACACGGTAAATACTTTTTTCAGTATGGTTAATACTGTGATTTATTAAAAAGGATGTTGTACTCCTCTGGAAAATGAGTAAAAAGGTTAAATATTAATGTTGGTTTTGCTAAACTAAACCTGCAGAGTAATCACATTTTGGCTTTCAGTGCTAGAGAAGAAGTAAATATCTAAATGATGTAGAAATATAAAAGGACTTGATTCAAGGCTTTATTATAAATCATTTCTGTTAGAAAACTAGTGCTACTAGTATTAATATGAATAATTAAATGTGGCTACCTTGCAACCAAAAAATTGAAATCTGTACACTGGCTGAGCTTGGAGGCCCTTTTTTTAAAAAACAGGTACTAGTTTCATTGGGCAGAATGAAGTTACATAATAATATTTCCCCATAAAACTGTGGCGGAATCACTGGTAAAGGAGAGAGGGAGTAAAGAGACTCCAAGGATGTTGTTGATTTGGAGGAGGAAATATCTGAGATCAAATATTTAAGACTATATCTGTCTTTCCCAAGGGAAGATATTCGATCTGGTGAGATTCTTTTAAATAGGTGTTTGATAATAAAAGAACTGCCTTGGTCTATTCAAGAAGTTGTTCTAGTTGCTTGCGCCTAATAAAACATATGCATGAGGATCAATAGAAATGTGTTTATTATGTAACATATTTTCTGGCACAAGTCAGAATTTTCTACTGTCAGCTACTTACCTTAATTTTTAGATTTAAAAAATGCAAAAGTTCAAGGAGAATTTCAGGTTTGTCAGGGATAGAAAGTCCTTTGGCACCTTTACGTCGATTACATTGGGCATGAATTTGAATAAACAAGAATTTACTTGTCATATGCACATTTGTAAAGCTAATTTCAGGTTTATATTTTAACAGAACTCATGCTGGAAGCAGATATTAAATCTCAGATACTTATAAACTTCAGATTGATAAAGGATGGTTAGTTTAAAAATAGTTCTCAACATGACTATAATGGAACCTGCCCATAATGATTGTAAATCATGGTGGTCATAAAATGGATCACCCACATGTCCAAACCAATTTTACAACCCCCCGCCCCCCGAGTCATTAAGTGACTGCCATAGTCATTAAAAGTAGGGGCTGGTTTTGCCAAAAATCAAAAGTAAAACGGTAATAAAACATATAACACTGTCATGAATTAGTCCAGACCCCACATGTGGTCACATGACCTCAAATGGTACAGTTGTCGGAACTTCGAATTCTGTTGTAACTATCCTCAGGGAGGTCTTTTAAATTTGAATATTTGCTAAGTAACTGGTGTACATCTAGGACTACCTTTAAGTGGCAGCACTTAAAAAGAACAGATACTATTTTGCACTAATTGTCTTATTTAAATGTATGCATGTTAGGTAAGCTCCCCATTGAGAGAGCGCGTACGTTCAGAGAAACATTGTTAGAATTGTGTTGGAGAACACACAAACCAGCATACAGAGACACTGCAGTTTAAATAGGCTTTTACTTTCATGGGAATAGAGGTATAGAGTTCATCAACAGTCCAAGTCATACATGGATAAGACAGTCAGTCATCAATGTCTTTCAATTAAGGGATAATCCAAACAACATAGTCCAGTATCATATAAACAGTCCGGTAAACAAAGTTTGCTAGCAGTTGCAAAACTTACAATAGCTCACGGCACTCAGATCAGTCCAGCATCTAACAAACAGAGAGCTAACAGTCA